AGGAATGGATGTAGATATAGTGTTTCCTGATTTGTTTGAGTATTTGACAGTTCACTGCAGTTAGGGCTCATTCTACACCAATACCACACATTAGTGTCATGCATAACGGTGGTGGATGTGGTTAACTTGCATCATTCCCTGCAAAGCAACAGCAAAATGATTCAGCAGTACATTGCAATGCTATCATAGAAACATTGAATTGCATTAACCAGTGCAGGAAAATGCAATATGTCCTATTTATTTTCTGTGGACACAAACAAGGTACTGATGCTTATTAAACAAGAGGTCACAAGCCAAATTACCGCATTGTTCCTTGCTTGGGAATTGTGTTGGGCAACACCAGCCATTGCTCTGACTAGTGTGAATACAAGCGTTAAAGCGGTAGTAAAGCCTGATTTCACTTGCTCCCTTAGGTAAGTCTATAATTAAGCCTACCTGTAGGTACAATGACTATCTCTAATCATGACACCATCTTAGGCAGAAATTCCATAATTGTAAAGGCCTGGTGACATCCACCGCTGCATTCAACACTACCACTCTGAATGGATTGGGGAATTAGAGTTTCATCCATTTCTAGACTGCTCGTGCCATGATCATAACTCCCATGCCTCGCACCGAGATGACGTGACTTTCAATTGTGGCCCCACCCATTTAAATGGCTCCAGACCACATGAAACCCTGCAGCAAGACCTGGTGATCGATGGAAGCCCTGTTTATGCGTGACTGCACACAACCTGGTGGGATCCACTTTACAGGTAAGTCTGTCAAATGTGCTAGTATCAGATGTGTGACTTTAATATTTAAGGTCTATAGCCCTTAGAAAATTTAATTTGTAAATGGTTACGCCAATAGGTTTAAGCAGAGCGTTATTGGTTCATACTCTGATGATGTAAAGTTATCAGGAAATGCTCACATTATCGGTCTTAGTGTTGGGACCATTGCTTTTTAACTGTTTATAAAATTGGTAAATACTGTTTGCATTTAACTAGCCCATTTTTGTGCAAATTATACAATTTATGTACAGTCCCTTGTGGTATACAATCCCTACAAGATGTCTCCAACCTTTACAAGTTGTGGTGCACCTTCTACAACTGGCACATCTACTTGGAAAATTAGGTTTATTTTTAATTAAATGTTAAGTTGTGACACTGGAGGTTAAACTACATGATTGATTCTCATACAAATCTTACATGGAATTCTATGGGTTAGTCAACATAATAGAGTAAATCGCTCCTATGTTTATGTCAACGCAGTGTGGATGGGCTCTTTAGAAGTAACTAACGTTGGAGTATTCTCAACACATAAGCTTACTTTTCTATTGCAGGGAATGCTAAGTATGACTTTGCATTCTTAGTGTAGAACTACTGGCAAATTCCAGGAAGTCGATCACACAGTATTTAAAAGTAATAACACTGTAGATTGTTGTTCCAGGAAAGTATGGGATTGCATGAGGATCAGGAACGTTTTTTTTTTTTTTTTCCCCTTTTGGAAGCAACGGACCTTGCTTTTAATGTTTCCATACACTCTGTGTTTATGGTTCTCAACGATTTTTTCTGTTTCTGTTGAACTTGACCGTAACTATAAAATTAAAGAAAGGGTTGTATGCGAGGTCTGAAAGTTCGATCCAAGCTTACAACAAATTCAAGAACTGCATATTGTTTATGCTGTTTCACTGAAGGTTATTCTGGTTGTTGCAGTTTTCATCACAGTTTGAATTTGAAAGGTTTAGGACAGTTTTTTTTGTCCACTATTATTTTTTTATTATTATTATTTTTATAAACTAAAGGAATTATATGCGGCCCAACAGTTTGCTCAGCGCTTTTCATTATAAAAAGCGGAGAAAATACAGCCAAACAATACAAGAGAGTTTGGACGGGCCCTGCTCCCTTGGAGCGTTACAATCTATGAATTTTCCAGTAACTATGCCATTATTTGTATGTTACATACCTCTACAGATTGGAGTGGCTTTGAAACAACAGCCATAGTGAAAGCACTGAATAAAGCTCTGAGCATCCTACTAGGTCAATGTTTTCTGAGGCATTGGAAATAGACAACTGTACCATATAATGATAGTTAATTCTAAACACTTTTCCAATTGTAAGGACATTTTGTAGGAGTTTACAGGAAATTGCTTGTGGACGGGGAATCCTATATTTATGGGGATATTAACTTATTCCTACATATATAAAATAGTCATTATGCATAATGTACCACAAAAAAATATAAAAAAAAGATAGCCACTAGTGTTTGGACATAATCTAACTTTTGTCCTGTTATATTACATCTCAGTAATATATTTGTAATATCTCCTTGATCAGGGCACATCTATGGTTTAAGGTTAATAGTTGGTCTCATAACCTTATGTGTTGAATAAAGACACCACAGTCAATCCAGTCCATACCTGTGTAGGTGTGTGTGTTTCATGGGGGACAGACTAAAAAAACATTTAATGTGAAAATGGCTTAATGTGTGCGCTCCCAGAAGAGGAGTCTACCCTGCACTTCCCTTCCTCCGCCTCCCACAACACTGAGTTAAGCTTTAGGGGAAAGAGTTAAGCCTAGGCGGCTGTGAAAGTCAGAAATGGAGCTGTGTTATGGGGGGTTGGGAGTGTTGAGGAGGGAGCTGTGAGGGTGCGCTCTGTTATGAGTGGCTTGTGAAGAGAGGGGAATTGTCAATACTTGGGGAAGCGGTGATGTGTTAGGGAGAAATCTGTGATATGGAGGCTGTTTGATGTGGTAATAGGTGGCTGTTATGTGCAGAATGGGGAGATTGTCGTGGACGTGTTATAAGGGGCGTGATGGGAATGGTGGCCGCTAGGGCGCAGTGAAGTGCTATGAAGGTTTAGAGAGAGGGGGGAACATAATGTGAGAGGGCGAAGCTGTGGTATGGGGGGCTGTGATGTGTATATGAAGGTTTGTGATATTGTGATGGATTTTGGTAAAATGCCTATTTCGTTTTACTATTGAATATTATATATATATTTATACGCTATTTCTATAAGTTTTATAAATATTAAATATCTACTTTTATACTTTAATACATATGTTGTGTGAATATTTTCTGCCTGCTCGGGCTTTGTGGTACTTTAAGAAATCCTTGCTTAAGAAATATTTGCATCACAGGAACCAGACCCCCTCTCCATCGTGTGCTGATTGGAAAGACAAAAGACTGTTTTTCTCTTTTTTAAGATAAGACTGAAGAAGATCACACCTATTACCATGACGGAGATTGTCTTTCGTGTAAAGTGACAATCAAAGAACTTAACTATAATTGCTTTATGCTGTTATCACGTGATGTTCGCATCATTTTTCCTATATAAGCTCTCGGTTTCATTTCAATAAATTAGAAAGAAGTTTTCACAGACCAAAGTGTGTCAGTGTCCGAGTTTCTAATGTGTGCACATTCAAAAGCTGGCCAGCATCATAAGATAGGACAGGGACAGATAAGCACTGGTACCATGGGAGTGCCCATACCTAAATCCAATATAAGAAGGGGGAGCTTTGATGCCGACGATGTGCGGGCAGCTGTGATATTGGTGGGTTCATGTGATGTAACGATGGGGGGCACTGTATTATGGGCAGGCTGTGATGTGATATGGGTGGCTGTAATGTGAACTGGGGGGCTGTGATATGAAGGGTTTGTGATGTGAGGAGGAGGGCTGTGATGTCAAGAGGGGGTGAGCTGTGATGTGGGGGGGGTTGTGATTGCAAAGGCGACTATGATGTGAGGGAGGGGTCTATGATTGCAAGGGGATGTGATGTAAGTGTGGCTGTAATGTTGGGGGCTCTGATGTGAAAGGGGGTTGTGACTGGAAAAGGTGGACTAAGGACATTAATTGAAAAGGGGCTGTGACGTTAAAGACCTATGTCAAAGAAAGAAAAATGAGATTCGGACCTCTGCAGAAAAAAAAGTTATTAACAACCAGACCTCCATGAATTTTAATTCAGTACCCCGTGAATGTAGAGCTCTTTTTACATTAAGCTATTCACATTAATGTTTTAGCACTGTAAAATATAGCTTAACCACTTGAGAGCTCCAGAGGATTTACCCCCCCTTAATGACCAGGCCTCTTTTTGCTACTCGGCGCTGCACTAATTCAAACTGATTAATTGTGCGGTCATGCAATGCGGCACCCAAACGATAATTTACGTCTTTTTTTTCACACAAATAGAGCTTTCTTTCGTATGTAATTTGATCACCTGTGCGCCTTTTTATTTTTCACGCTATAAAACAAAAAAAAAGGGCCAAAAATTTTGAAAAAGGAAAAACAATCTAATTTTTTACTTTCAGCTATAAAAAATATATTAGTAAACTCAAATTTGGTTTTATAAATTTAGGCCAAAATGTATTCTGCTACATGTTTTTGGTAAAAAAAAAAAAATCCCATAAGTGTATATTTGATTGCTTTGTGGTGGAAGTTATAGCGTTCTACAAAACTATGGTATATAGATACTGCAATTTACGCCATTTTTCTGCTATACAGCGCTGTTCTAGTTTAACGGACAATTGCACGGTCATGCAATATGGTACATAAATGAAATTTACATCCTTTTTTTCCCCACAAATTTGAGCTTTCTTTCGTATGCTGGTATTTGATCGCCTGCGGCGGACATTTTGACACTGGGGGGGGGGAACTTGACTTGGGGTCACTGACAACCCCAGTGACACCTATAATACATGTGATCAGTGAAAAAAAACCACTGCAAACTGTTACTAATGTACTGGGGAGGAAGGGGTTAACATTTTTAGAATTTGCTGTGTAAGGGGAGTGTTTTACTTGGGGGCGGTGGTGTGTATAACTGGACGGGGGGAGCTGATCAAGGACGAGAGAAACTCTGCAGCTTCTCACAAGCTGTCAGAGAACTGACACAGAACAGGGCTGCAGTGTAAACAATGCAGCCCTGCTCTGTATCAGCGTCATCACCGTCAATCGCGGGAAACACGGTCCCGGTAAAAACCCGTCCGTGACCTGCGGCGGCTGACACCCGCTGCTGAGACACCCCGCAGGGACAGGTAGGGCGCGGGTGCGCGCCTCGCACAACGATACGCCCCCTACCTGTTTTGAAGGCAGCCGTTTTAAAAACGTGCTTTTGCCTACGAGTGCCGCCCTGCCGCCGTTTATATGCGCTGGCTGGGCTGAGGGGCAGGTGGTTAATATGGAATAACTTTTGGAGTGATTTACCAAATGACCCGAAATTTTCAGAATATGTTGCCATTGATAGAGTCTTCTAATGTGTGAAGTTTGGGGGAAATTGGTAAACATCTAAGCTCATTTTTGTACGTTAAGCCACATTAAGCTCCCCAAAAAACACAAGCTTAATGTCCCCCATTTTTCCTTTGTGGGAAGGTTGAAATCTATGAAACTTCTAGGACATGTTTGCTAAGTTGGGAACTTGGGCTGTGCAAAGTTTCAAGTCACTATTGATTGAAGTTTAGGCACATTATGGTACGTTAAGCTCTTTTTACATTAAGCTGTTCACATTAAATGTTTTATCACTGTAAAATATAGTTTAATGTGAATAACTTTTGGTGTGATTTACCAAAATGACCTGAAATTTTCAGAATTTGTTGCCATATATAGAGTCTTCTAATGTGTGAAGTTTGGGGGAAATTGGTTGACATCTAGGCTCTTTTTTTTGTACGTTAAGCTACATTAAGCTCCCCAAAAAACAAGCTTAATGTCCCCCATTTTCTTTTGCGGAAGGCGCTGAAATCTATGCATGAAACTTCTATAGATCATGTTTGGGATGTTGAGAACATGGGCTGTGCAAACTTTCAAGTCAATTGATTGAGATTTAGGCAGTTTATTACACGTTAAGCTACATTAAGCCATTTTCACATTAAATGTTTTTAGTCTGTCCCGTGTTCATGTAAAAATAAAATCCACATCCCTGTATACTGTCTTCGCCAAGATGCACATCAAACAGTTTATTGAAACTATCAAAACTTCAGTCCACTCCAATCCACTAATTATATTGTAATAATCTTTTTTCTCAGATCACATCTCATGGTTTAAGGTTACATAGTTGGTAAGGATGAATAAAGAGACACCAGTACATACCAGTTCAGTGTTGTGTGTGCGTGTGTGTTCATATAAAAATCATATCACTATATCTCTGTATACTGTGTTCGTCTAAGATGCCACATCAAAACAGTTTTTTTAAACTATCAAATATTAGCTGACACCACGATTGTAGAAGCAAGGATGTTGAGGTGAGTTACCACCCTTACAATCCTTACTGTCCTCGCTACACATTTTAAGGTTAATCGATATTTTAAAACATTTTGGGTGATTTATTTCTCCTCACTATGTGTCTCTCATTGGTCTATTTTTAGCTGCCTGATTGCGTTCTTACACTTTTCCTTTAGTGTTCTTGTTATACCATTGCTCATGTATTTTGTGCTAACAAGCTTACTGGTAACATCAATATCAGATATTCTGTATAGATATATTCTTTAACCCAGTAGAATGGCAGTTTTTATAAGTTTGTAGCTGCCTCTTTGACTTGCGACTCTATGTCTTCTTCCTGAATAAAAAGTCCTGTTTCCAGTTAGCAGAGAAGCAGCAGGTTACACCAACATGTGGACTGTGCACTGTTCTTTGTTATGTAGCCAGACTGCCAGTTGGATACTGCATGGACACTATGACCAGTTGCGGGTACTGCATGAGAACCAGGGTCAATAGGGCCTGATCATTGCGGAGTCCCAGTCTTGATCCGGCAGCAGGGTACAAGGAGTGGGACAGCGAAAGCCTCGGGGGTGCAGGCAGGATGACAGCAGCCAGCTGCCGAACTACCCATCTCTCACAACGATGAGTGGACACTCCCTGGAACCCCTGGACTACTTCTTCAACCTCTGTCCTGCTCCCACAGAGGACAGGCTTACCAGGGGCCTACGATAACTAGGACACGGTATGAGGTGCAAGGCAGCCAGGGACTGCTCATCTCACAAAACATAATATCCACTGGAGCGGAACAAAGAACACCTTCTTTCCTCACCTAGAGCAAGACCCGGACCCTGCTGCTGCTGGTCTTTCTATAAGGCATCATGCTGGCATGGAAGGTACTTGTACCGAGCATCACACACACTTATCCCACAGAAAGCAGACAGGTACTGGGACAAGGTACAGCACTGACAGAACATGGTACAGGCGCTGCTAGGATTGTCTTTTCTCCCTCACCCCACTGTCTGACCCCCACTCCCTCTCTCTCACACCCCCCTCTCTCTCTCTCTCTCCACCCCCTCTCACCCCCTCCCTCTATGACACCCCCTTATTCCTCTCTCTGCCCCCCCCACCTCATCAACCAGGAGTGAACCTTTGGTACCCTTCTTACATCCTGAGATCTGGTAAGAAAGCCATAAGTCGTGATCCTATGGAAGATGTTAAGGTGCCCGGATTTCAGTTAAGGGTGGAGGAGTAACATGGCACCCTTAACTGAAAGATTCCAGCGGACCTTAGTGTCTCACTCCTCATGCAATTATCCTTACTTCATTCCTCTTCCACTGGAAGCGTGGAGCATGTATGATGGTGAAGATGCTGAGGTTCCCATGCTTCAGTGGCGGAGTGAAAGAAAGAATGATGTGGGACTATTGCTAAAGGTGGTTGGAGAAGCAGTCACGGCAAAGGTTCCTTGGATTGGGTGTAGTAAGTGCCTTAACCTTGGTTTTATGTGGAAGGACTGATATACCTCAGAGTTTGCTAATCAGTGGGCTGGAATTATACACTGTCAAACTATTTAATCAGCGATCCCGTCTCAAGTGTCACAACACCATAAAATGTTCATATCTTCTCACTAAACTATTCTTCCCTCCTCTAGCAATAGATTCCTCTTCGAGCAGCCGTGAACAGGAAGTCAGAAAGTGATGAACACGCGGTCAACACTGTGATGAGACGGATGTAAACCGTAAGTTAACAGAGTCGGCCATTTTGTAGACAGAGTTTCTCCTACTGTTTGCCTCTTGTCGCATTGGTTACATGCTGAGACACTTTGCTTGTCGTTGTAAGTAGCAATTTTATTATTAACGAGTCGACATCCCTTTCAATTGCCTACTACACTATTTGGTTGTACTTTGCTACATATTATGATGCGCCATAGGAAATCGGATGCATTTGTGGTCGTGACTTTTTCTTGCGAGGACGGGATTTTTATTCGTCCGGTACCTTTCCTATATGAAATTGGACGGATTCTAGGAGATTTGACCACGAAGGAAGGTGGAATACTGTGCAAGCTTTTTTCAGATTGAGCAGGCGTAAGCGTTAAGGATGACAGGACTGATTAGAAGTGTTCACGCACGGTGGAGTGACTTTTGCACCTGTTTAGCACTATTTTTGTAAAGTGCGATTTTTTCGGTGTCGTTAGATATCATTGCATTGTAAGATAATGCACTATATGCGATTAATTTTTTTTTGAGGGTATTTTAAGTGGAAGAAGGAGGAATCTATTACTCGCGGAAGGAAAGAATATTCAATGAGAAGATCACTCAACATTTTTGGCGTGTTCTATGACATGGAGACAACTGATTAGAGATTGGACTGTGTTATTTTGGGTCTTTCAGGAGGTGAGAGCAAAGTATATTTTGGGCGTCTGGGGTTAAATGTCGCTTCACGCACCTTTAGTATCACAACCAAAATATTTACTTGATTCTAGGAATTTATACCCTGTCTTTGGTATCAGTAAAAAGGAAAATGACCCAGCGAAGTTTGGTGCTCAGTGGCGAGGAATAGTGTCCCTCACTGGTGTCAGTGGGAGGAATTAGTGTTCTCCATCGTTGGTGGAGTCCAGTGAAGGACATAGTGCCCCCATTCATTAGTGTCAGTGCGGGAAATATTGTGGCTCCATGCATGGTGTCACTGGCGAGGAATAGGTGCCCCTCGTTGGTCTGTCAGCCGGGAGAAATAGTGACCCATGGTTGATGTCAGTGGGATGGAATAGTGTCTCAGCTTTTGGTATATCACTAGAAAAAACTTACTGCTCAGCATTGGTGTTCCAATGTGATGTGAAAACACTTATTGTCCTTTTAAGTTTACAATTGCTTCTATGTTAATATTGTTATAATTGTTGTAAATATTTATTTTTATAACTTTATTCTGCAATAAAACATTTAAGAGATGTCAGTTTCATTGAGATAATTTGTATGAGGTCGTATCTATAGCGGCAGGGCAGGGTAGGGGTTAGGTGTAGGGGCCTTGGGCTGGCGGCAAACTTATTGGTAACTATTAGAGGCATGGCTAGTAGATCAGAACTCTTGAACATTTTGAGCCCTGCTTAAGACGAGACAATGTTTTCCCAGGAAAACTGCATATCGCCATCATGACCTTGATGATACAGTACCTTGCGACACAGCAAATCAATTGACAATCTTCAGGGCAAAAGCAGGCACCAGCTTAAATGGACACCACCAATTTGCACTCTTTGAAGCTCAAATAAGCTCTGGACATGACTTCGTTATTACTCAAGGCAGCTGCTCGCAGTGAGTGATGAATAATGAGGCTTCCCACCTGCTCGCTAGCACTGTCTTATAGAGTCACACAGCGAAAGCAAAATAATGTTTTTATCATCATTGCTGCTTTCAACATGCCAAATGTTGTTCACTTTACAAACTGACAATCATGTAGTGTTTCCATTTTTTGTTCCAACCACTTGCTCTTCCTGTATAGTCTTTGTATTATTTTACTCTTTGTGGATCGACTTGTTGTTGCAATAGTTGACTGCAGTTTGCATTTCACTAGCCATTTCGAGAGTAAAGCTCTTGAGAATGGTCGACCTATTACCTAGGACCTATTAACCACTATAGCATGCAACAGAAGATGGCATCTAATTCCTGTTAAATCAGACAATCTAAATTTCGTAGCCGGTGGCTCTTCGAAGTTATGGCGCTGACAAAGCCTCCTGGCTGTTTACCTGATCGCTCAGCTCCTGCACACTCTGCCAAATGAATGATCTCATGGCTGTGTATAGCACGCTGGGCCGTTTAGATAAATCTTTTTTTCCAACATAGGGGAGGTTCCGCTCCTCACACACTTGCCAAGAGCACACCAAAGATTGTAGTACTCTTGCACTGCTCAGTAAGGTCGTGGATCATTGGGGTGGTTTTCTGAAAGCCAGTTGGGACTGTGCGTGCAAAAATTATAAGTTATTCTCGGCTGTGACTATGAAGAAAAGGCAGCCAAATATTGGCGTGTGGTTCTCATTGTGCTAAATATTGTGC